ACCAGCATCATATCCAAAAAGAATTCCAATAAAATTTCCATAAAAATTTGAAAAAATGACATCCAGTTGATTATCGTCATTAAGATCACCAACGGCAACAAAAGTTCGGCTTGGAGTGACTTGAACTGGTTGCTGAATCAAACTAGTAAATGTTCCATTACCGAGGTTTGAAAATATACTTAAATAATTTGTGTTGCTATCACCAATGATAACATCCAATGATTTATCATTATTCAAGTCGCCAGCACAGATGACATCAGGTAGAGATTGAAGACCAGTATAATAATTATCCAAACTTGCGAATGATCCATTTCCAACTGCTATAAAAAATCCTATTCTATCTCTCGACTGTTTGGTAACTATAATATCTAAAAGAGAGTCATTATTCAAATTAGCAGCATAAACAAATGATGGATATGATAGTTCTCCAACTGAATAAGTAATTTGTGTTGCAAATGTTCCAGTGCCATCTCCAAAAAAAATACCAACTGTTTGACCATTATAATTAGCGACAACAATATCAAGGTATTTATCATTATTAAAATTACCAATAGCTATCGAATAAGGTGTAGATGAATCACCAGTTGAAAAGGTTGTTTGAGATCCAAATGATCCATTACAAAATCCCAAAAACACACCGACATTATTACCATTAGAATTGGCAACAACAATATCAAGGCATTTATCATTATTTAAATCACTAACAGCCACTGATTTTGGAGAAGATCCAGAGCCGGTTGAATAGATTACGGGATATTCAAGTGACCCATTCCCATATCCTAAAAGAACCCCAATGCTATTCGATTCTTGATTAGCAACTACAATATCAAGATATGTATCGTTGTTGAAATCCCCAGAAGCTAATGCATACGGTGAAGAAGAAGGAGTTGTTGACTGAAATATGGGAGATGCAAGGGTTCCATTACCAAATCCTAAAAATACAACAACGTTATTAGCCCAATTATTAGCGACAACAATATCCAAATGATTGTCATTGTTAAAATCACCAACAATCACAGCCGCCGGTGCGGATCCACTACTAAGCCAATAATTAATTTGGGCTTGTAAGTTTATACTTGGTTGATTTAAGAGAATACCCACACTATCAGAATTATTATTTGCTACAATAATATCTGTTCGATTATCGTGATTAAAATCTCCAATGCTAATACATTGTGGATGAGAACCATAGCCAGTCGAAAAGGTTCTCATACTATTAAATGAACCATTGCCAATTCCTGTCCATATACCAACAGTGTCATTACCTGAATTTGCTACTAAAATATCTTCAAATTGATCATTATTGAAGTATGTAACTAAGACATAATGCGGATTAGAACCATTACCAGTGAATAAAGTCATTTGACTCGCGAATGTTCCGTTCCCATATCCTAAGAAAATACCCACATTATTAAGTCCGGTATTTGCAACAATAATATCTAAATGATTGTCTTTGTTAATATCGGAAACAGTGATCGAATATGGTTGAGAACCATATCCCGTTGACAATAATTTTTGTGTTTCAAAACTACCATTTTCATATCCATAGAATATACCAATATTATTTGTGCCAAAGTTAGCAACCACAATATCTTGAATATTATCGTTATTCAAATCGGCAACTGCAATTGATCGTGGATCAGAATCATAACCAGTGGAATAAATTATTGAAGATGTAAAAATCTTATCATTTACTCCAAGCATTACTGATATACTATCACTTCCGTAACTGGCTATTACAACATCTGGTATTTTGTCCTGATTAAAATCACCAACAGCAATATAAATTGGTCTAGAATTACCAGTTGAGAATGTGATTTGATTTTGAAATGAACCGTTTCCGTTACTGAAAAATATCCCTAAGCAATTAGTTCCATAGTTAGCTACAGCAATATCGAGCAGTGTATCATTATTAAAATCATTGACGATAACAAAATAAGGACGAGATGATGCACCTGTAGAATATGTTATTTGATTTCCGAAAGTTCCATCACCCTTCCCGAATCTTATACCAATATTATCTGAGCCATAGTTTGCTAAAACCATATCTAAATGATTATCTCTATTGAAATCACCTATTGCTGTTGATCGCGTGTAAGGATTGTATTGAATTTTTTGGTTTACTAATGGTTTATAAGTAGGTTTACATACTTGTCCTAAAATATTAACATCAATTTATCAGATGAAATACAAAAATAAAATAATAATCTTAGAATACATACCTTGATTTCTTGCTGTAGTAAAATTAACAATTATAATACCAGCAGTCATCGACATGGTGACGAAGAGAAATACACAAATACAAGTCAATCGTGAATTTAATAACTGAGAAATTTTTCTTTGTATTAGAAAATTGTCAATATGCCATTCATCAACTTTTTCATCTAACGAAAGTTGTTGTCGTTGAGTCGAAGATGAGTTTTCGATTTGTACAATTTCTCTCATTATAGAAAACTAATTTAATCTGAAAGAGAAATAACTCTTTAGAAAAAATAAATGTGACCAAAAATTACTGAATAAAATTGAGAATCAACAGCTAGGAAATATTCTTAATTCTATCAAAATAATTTATTCCTGTTTGTGTATATACATTCAAAGAATGCATAGTATTGACGAGTGGATAAAATTTATTTATTAGAAAAGATTTTGTCGAAGAACTGATCGATTTCAAAAATCTACATACGATAATAACAAATTGTAAATATCAATAAAACTCCACTAAAACACATCTTTGTCCTTCTATGTTTGAATGAATCTTTAGAAAACCCAATTATATCAGTTGTTAAATAAGAATGTCTAATGTATGCCGAAAACGAAAGAAAAAAAAATGAAATTATTAACAAAATTATTTCTCCTGAGATACTGTTGATTCTAATCGTTAGATGTTAAAATTCAATTGTAGTCAATAATAAATAAACTTGAATCAATATGTAATCAACTAAATCTTAACAAACATAATTCTTGAAATTATCCTACAATTTTTTCAGTCACGTTTTGTTAGAAAAAAACACGAGGTATTTATACAGGGAGAAGACAATATTTTCCTCTGATTCACAATGATATGGTGGAGAAGCACTAAGTAGATCGAAAGAAACAAAAAAAAACATATATATATACATATGCGTACGTCTCTAACAGATTCCTTATCTATTTCTCGAAACTAAAACAATTTGAGACTATTGATCATCAAATCTTAATCTTTGTTTAAAAAAATAAATCTCTACAAATCAAAAATATAAATACAAACCGAAAATATAAAAAAATATTTATTTTACTGACTATTATCATTCGATTATAATGACGACTAAATAATATTTCGAAAGGTAAAAGAAATGACATTTGGTCCAAATGGTAATTAAAGTCAGTTCATAACGTTGGCGATATGATTTAAATTATATCCAATCGATCATATTATTTCATATGTCTAATATGCGTGATAAATAGAAAAAATCAAAAGAAAAAATATATGAATGTTATTTAAAAGTATTTACGGTGTGTTATTCATAAATATTATCAGTCATATTTGTTTTTGTTTATATACGCAAAATATCGATAATAGTTATGAAATATTGCATAGATAATAGAGAATGACAGAATTGATTTTAGAAAATTATTTTGTACAAAAACAACAAAAACGTATCAAATTCTTTGACGATTTTTGTTTTTAGTCAAACAATTGCATCGTAATATCGAATATATAGCACTCACCATAGGTTTGCATTTCATTAATGAATCTATATACACTTATTTTCAAGCAGATTCAACAGAAGATTATCATACCTATTACTCAAATATTATTTATCTATCGACACAAAAAATTGAAAAGATGAATATCTACTCAATTATATAGTGACCATCAAATATATTATGTCAATATATACAGATTTATCTGACATAATATTAACCGAATGCAATAATATGAGAATGTAAATAAATCAACTCTCATAAATGAGCAAAAAAACTGATTTGAAAATTAAAAATATATTGTCGACAGTTGATGAAATATATATCAAATGAAAATAATAAATTGATTTCATTAACACTCATTATTCATTTATTGATAGAGAGAAATATTTGAATAAATTACACAAAGTATTTTGTCATCTCAAGAAAAGAATCGAATATATTTCGATATTATAAGGAGAGAAAAATAATAATCCTTCGCTTGTCACGTTTATTTTTCTGTTCTTGGCTCATTTTATGTGTAGAATAAAATATATCGATGCGCGTTTTCTTTCGTCTTGTTACATTAATACATAAATTATGATCAATAAATAATGATATCGATGATAAAACGTGATTCGTAAATAAATATTATATTTTTTCTATTCTTTTTTTGGTTGTATTTACAATTTTGTTTTTTAATTAATAAAAATATCGAATAATATATATATTTTCTTTTTCGTCATTGATTTCTAAAACAAAGAACACACAACAATTACATTTTTGTATTTGATAATAAAGAAAAAACAAGAATCAAGATATAGTTCTATCGATTCATTAATTAAAATAAAATTTTGCATTTTAACTAGTGTTGTTGTAAATGTCTAAGTTAGTATAAGTCTTTATATTCAAAATATTTTTTCTTTAGACAATAGTTCTAAAAAGGTAATTCATTTTGTATGAATTCTAGAGTTTTAGAATAGGGCCACTGGTGAAGGTTTTTAATGTGCACTACTTACAAAATAAATGTGCTTTTTTTTGTTAGTGATGATATTATCTCTTATCTTTGAAGAAAGTTGAAAAAAGTGAATTCTTTTTCTTTTTGCTGTTTTTTTGTACTCACCTGGCTCTATAATTTATATGAAATGATACGGAGGACAAAGTTCTATTATGTTTCATCAAAATAAAATAAAATAAAAAATGATAATTAATGGCGTCTTAAAAATATTGAGATAAAGAGATCTAATTGTCATATGAATAACGATATTCGTTTGTTTATTTAACCATTTATTAGTCAGCTTTTCAACTACCTACAATTATCAACATATATACGTATCATGGGCTCGAAACCTTCAAAATCGAGCGTAAAATCGTCTCACGAAGTAATAACGTCATATATTCGTCAACCACGACAACGTATGGCTACAAACTATCTTCTCGTTTGGATAGATGCCAGTATCGACGAAGGAAAAAAGGATTGTCAAGATACACTCATCCAATTGAAGAATGTGATCAATGATGTCAAGTTATGCACTGAATCGAATCAATGCATCCAAGTACTCAACGAGTCTGACAAGGAACGAGCCTTTGTTATAGCATCAGACTCATTAGGTCAAGATTTAGTTTCTGAAATTCATGATATGTCACAACTAGATACCATTTACATCTTTTGTGATAACAAATCCAGGCATGAGGAATGGACTCAAAACTGGACAAAAATTAAAGGTGTTCATACAAATATGAAACAAATATGTCAAGCATTAAAATTGGCTGTTAAGCAGTGTGACCAGGACACAATCGCCGTAAGTTTTCTTACGATAAGCGAATTGGCTTCAACTGAGGATTTAAGTCAGTTGGAGCCAAATTTTATTTACACACAGATATGCAAGGAAATTCTCCTTGATATCAAATATGGTTATAAAGCAATCCAGAACTTCGCAACTTGTTGTCGCGAAGTCTTTACTGGCAATTCAATTGAACTAATAGTTATTAATGAATTCGAACGTGATTATCATCCACAAAAAGCAATATGGTGGTATACACGTGAGTGTTTTATCTACAAAATGCTTAATCAAGCGCTTCGAATTATGGATGCAGATATAATCATTAATATGGGTTTTTTTCTACATGATGTACATCAACAAATTCAACAGTTGTACGAACAGCAGGTCAGTCGTTATGGAGGAAAGCCTTTTATAGTTTATCGAGGACAAGGTCTTATGAAATCAGACTTTGAAAAACTTCAGAAAACAAAAGGTGGACTTATATCATTTAACAACTTCTTGTCCACTAGTACAGATACAGAAATGTCCTTCCGTTATGCTCGAGATGCTTCAACAAAATCAGATATGGTCGGCATTCTGTTTATAATGTCTATTAACCCTTGTTTGAGATCAACACCATTTGCCTCCGTTAAAGAGGAGAGTTATTTCAAGGAAGAAGAAGAAATTCTTTTTTCCATGCACACTATCTTCCGAGTTAGTGCAATTAAACAAATGGACGATAACAATCAACTGTATCAAGTTGAACTACAATTAATATCGAATGATTATCAACAACTACGAGTATTTACTGATCGAATACGAGAAGAAGCTAATGATGGTACTGGATGGAAAAGATTAGGTATATTATTGCTTAAAATCGATCAAGTTAATAAAGCTGAAGAACTTTATAGCGTATTACTCGAACAGACATCTGATGAGGGTGAAATAGTGCACTATTATAATCAGCTCGGATTCGTCCATTCGAAGCAAGGTAATTATGAAAAGGCTATTTGGTATTTCGAAAAAGAACTTGAAATTCGACAAGAAAGTTTTCCTTCAAATGATCCTGATTTAGCTATTCCATACAATAACATCGGTATTATATACAGCAATATGGGAGAGTACTCGAAAGCACTTTCGTCTCTCCAAAAAGCACTTGAAATCTGGCAAAAACCTCTTCCTTCAAATCTTTCTCATCTAGCGAGTTCATATAACAACATCGGTTGGGTTTATAGAAATATGAAAGACTATTCGACAGCACTATCATATTATGAACGTGCTCTAGCTATCAAACAATGTGCTTTGCCTCCAACTCATCCTAGTATTAAAAATGTGAAAGAGAGTATTGAATTCGTTAAAAATAAATTTTAAGAATACATATAACTGCTTTTTCTCATGAACTTAAATTTACAAAAAACATTGAACATAAATCTTATATTATAATGATTAATATGACATTATTCGGTAATCAAATAACCGTTCGCTTGTAAGTTCTTTCTATTATGATAATTGAATGAAAAAAATATAAAAAATGTTTCTAATATATCTTGCATACACTTAAAACTCATATTTCTTAGCAGAAAACCATCGCGACTTAAACATGTTCACTTGATAAGATAATTACTCAACAAAGACATAGGATAGAGCAGATATAGTCACGTCACTCATTGATTATAAGCAAAAACGCAAAACACTTAAAATTAATGAGGATGATGAATTAACCATCATGGAAGATAAATACATTAAAAAAAAAGATGTTTTTCTATTTTATTTTGTCACTAAAATAGCATTTGCTCTGTATACTTATACTGCGTTCTTTTTCATTCAACATTTTTCATAGAAACTATATTTATCATCATTTATTGTCAAAAACGGAATGTGTTTATGCAAGCGATAACTTAAATAGAAGATGGGCGTCAACTCCTATTATTTATGCTAAGTTGTCTTGAATATAAAATAAACCTGATAATAATAATATAAATATATACTGTAGTTGTAGTTCTTTTTTATCAGGTTTTTACTATTTTGTTGAGCATTAAGAGGAACTATATTCAATTCAAAGATGTAGCTAGTCGATGAAACTGATATTGTATCTGTACTTTTTTGTGAGTAAATGCGATTTTACACTTGTGTTCTTGAAAATTTTTGTTTTCAATCGGCTTTTAATCTGTTGATTGATTAGTGTATTGTTCAGTCACAAGAAACTCATAAAAAAGCCAGTAAACTTAGATTATGAGATGTTGTCTATCGATTTTTTCCTCTGATATTAATAGGATATATATCTGAATGTACAATTTCTTTTGTGAGATCGTTACACAAGTACCGATCTATATTTACAAGAAAACTTAGAGTGAGACTAAAGAAAAAATGTGTGAACGTGTATTTTAAAACTAACTGTTTCATATAGTTACTTTCAAACTGATCATAAATTTATCATTTATATCTGAAGTCAAACTAAAATATTGCCTTTGCTAGTGTATCTTACAATGAAAAAGAATTAGTATTAGTCGTTTTTTGTAGTTATCAGACTTAACTATTCTAGATTCATTCTTTGTATAATATTCAAGTAATTAGTTAGCAATATGTCATTATCGCAAGAGGACACTGCTCAAATTAATAATATGGTACAGATACAAAATATATTTGTCCA